AGTATTTAAAAATGCCTTTTTTTCTTCCCTGTTGAATAAAAGCCTAATTACTAAATGTGGAATGGGATCTCCAGATTGATGGTGAGGGTATTGGTTACTCATCCTACTTCCACTTCTAGTATTAAACTAGGATGATGATAGATCAATCAGAATAAAAAAACGGTAGGTGATTTTCAAAATTCATGGATCTCAGAGATATTCTCTTAGTCCGTGAAACTTGCTTTGGCCTAGAATTCAGTTGCTTATGGTGTTTCTCCCACTTCTTTAATCACTGTTACTTCTGTCGCATTAGTAGGTTAAGACAAACACGCATCTACATGAAAATAATTTATTCATTTCAGTAAATTCAGTGAAGAGTAAGAAAAAAGAATAAGTATTTGAAAGAGAGTATAAAATGTGTTCAGGGGCTTCCCTGGTGGCGCAGTGGTTGAGAGTAAGCCTGCCGATGCAGGGGACATGGGTTTGTGCCCCGGTCCGGGAAGATCCCACATGCCGCGGAGCGGCTGGGCCCGTGAGCCATGGCCACTGAGCCTGCGCGTCCGGAGCCTGTGCTCCGCAACGGGAGAGGCCACAACAGTGAGAGGCCCGCGTACCGCAAAAAGACAAAACAAAAAAAACAAAAGAACAACAAAAAAAATGTGTTCAGATATACTAGCTCCTTGATTTGGTTTAGGCTTCAGGAATAATGGGAAATCACTAGTAGCAAGTATTGTGCTGCCTGACACTGGTTTGCTCAGGACCTGTGTTCAGGTGAAAGCAGTGTTACTTCTTTAAGGGCAGAATCAACTTCCCATTTCCTCCTGATCTTCAGTTCAACTCTACAAAAAACTTAGTGACATCCACTGTATAGCAGATCCTGGGATAACCCCCAGGAAAATAATGACATGATCCTCATCCTCCAAAGTTTTTACAGCCCCACAGAGAAGCAGAACATGGAAATAGAGTGAAACAGTAAAATGCTACTGTACAGAGTAGAAAAGAAGTCATGTTTAAGAGAAGTTCTGGGAAAGGCTTCTTGGAGTTGGTGATTCACATGCAGAAATTTTAAGAAAATTTCATCAGGTGAACTTGAAGAAAAGGCTGACGGAAAAGAGAGAAAGGTGTGAAGTCACAGAAGTGTAAAATACACACATGTGAGTGTGAGTACTTGGTATTGCTACGATGATGCTGGGGAAGTGGGGGAAGAGGATTGAAGTCAGAGAAGGGGAAGCAAGACTGTAGTGAAAAGAAAGGAATAGGCCAGAAAAGGAAGGTCTTAACTGCCATGTGTAGCGCCTTGGGTTTTGTCCTTAGGTGATGGAGATATGGAAGGTTTTTGAGCATGTCACTTCATGATCAGATTTTCATTTTGTAAGATTATTTGTGGCTGGATTATGGAGAATGGTGTGATGAGAACTGGATTGCATGGTAGCATGGAGACCTAGTTAAAAGGGTAATGCAATAGTTCAAATGAGTGATGAGATAATTTTCTGGTATAAAATCTCCGATTGATTCATAAATACACTGCCACATTTTAAAATGTCAGCAAATTGAAAATATTTTTGGTATTCAGTAGAACTAATTCATTGCTACTTTTATAGTTTAAAATTATTCATGAAAATGATAGCAATGAAAAATTGAAAGAGGGTTAATATTTTACTTGTCCGTGGAATTAAAGCAGTACACTAAGAGAAAAATTTTCACAGTTATAATTTTGCTATTAATGTGGAATATTACTTTACAAAATGTAAGGTAATGAATTTGTTTTATATATATATACATATATATATCTAGTTGTTTGTGGAAATTATGCATATTTGAAAACAAATGAATGATGTCATATGGTCAGTACATGTAGGTATTTGTCAAATTTGCATTTGATACTGAACTGATTGTTATAATGAAGACTTTGTATTAATTCAAGTCATGGCATAAGTGATGGATATTTTTAAGCAGAAAGTTAAATCCCAAAACGAGAAAGAATGAAAATATTTGTCAGGGAAAATTAAATAGCCATATATGCATATATGACTATAATTTTAAAAAGAGCACGTGTTAAAAGATCATTGCAAATCATATATTTGGAACAGCACATTTGAAAATAGCTTTAAATTGTCTCACAAATAGTGTGGCATATAAGTCTTCTTACCAAATCTTGGTTTTGGTGCATAAGTCCTCACTTCTTAGTTATCACAGCAGGAAACAAAAGTCAGAGTTGATGAAATTAGAATATCCATAGCCTTGTGGGGGGAATAGAATATTAGAGTGCTACATCTTTTTCAGTATGAACCCAAGATTAAAAAAAAAATGTTGCTATTTAAGTACACAGTAGTATACAAGTTATCATAAATGTTAGGTTGTATGCCCCATAATCAAATGGAATAATGATCAGTTTCTGTTGTATGTTATCTTCAATTCAGATGAATGCTCAGGAATCCAATTTCATGCCTTACTATTGGTCAGACTTTCTTTATTTGTGTATAATATTGTGAATGCCTATAGTTTTAGGATTGCAACTTTATTGCACTGCATTCAATGTTATATTATTTATCAGTCTTCAGAGATTACATTGAAGCTTTAGGGGTTAGGATGTATTTGCTATGCATGATTTTTATAAAATTTTTTATAATAACTTTTTCATAGGATCTGTTTATCCTTGTCTCTTTTTCCCCCCATGTCATAATAGAATGTATTATAGTACTTTGAAGAAACTTTTTCAGCAAAATATATTTTTACTACACATTTACCCTTAATAGGTTCTGTTAGGGGAACCAATGACAACATGTTTCAAAGCAGAAATCTTTTCATGCTTGGTTTTTTCTTTGTTTAATGAGATTTCAGGTATATTTTAACAACTGGGGTTTCCCTGATGAATCATTAAAATAAGTGAGTGGGCTGGAAGGTAACACGAACTTTTCTCAGTACTGCTCTATTTTACTCTGCTGGGTTATTGGTTGCTTTTTAAGTAGAACCTGGGTGTGTTGGAGTTGGTGGTTGGAGGTTCAGAAGGGAAGAGGGGAAAGGGTCAGTTAGGAAATACTAGGTAAACCTCTGATGACCTGTCGGCAAATCCTACTCAAATTCTACTTTCCTCAATTTACACCATTTTGTGTTTAAGCTTTCTATTTTTGCTCTGCCAAGCTCAACTTTCCAAGTACTGTATATAGGCAAATAGAAAGTATATTTTCAGCAATTGATTGAAGTTTAAGGTATCAAGCCATGTGTGGATTAGCCTGTGAAATCAATTTCTCATGTGTGTGGGATTAAAATCGTTAAAACCATCATCACTGAAACCATACCTTCCTACAACTAATAGCAGTAAGGTGTCTGTGGAATATATTAATACAACACGTCCTCTAATTTAAAATTATTACTTGGTATTTGGTTGGAAAATTATTTGAATATTATAGGTAACTGCATTGACATCATATATGAGGGCTAATTATGGGTTTCTAATGTGACTTAGCTTTAGTTTTTAAAAATCCACATGAGATATTTATACTTAGCACATCTTTTTCAATAAATCAGTGGCATATGGCAAATTTCCTTTAGCTATACTGTTCAAAAACAAAAAACAAAAAACTGAACTACCACAGCAGTTATAACTGCTGGAGGAGGTAGACAAAAATGTAGTTCACCTTGAAAATGATCATGGCTCAAGGAATAAAGAAACTGGGTCAAGCTTAAAATAAATGCAGGTACGATGACAAAAGTTTTAATATAAATTTAAAAATATTCACAGCATTGGTTTCAGGCTACTTTTGTTCTTGGTGATCTTATCAATAATGCATTACTCATTTTTAATTGAGATGACTCTAATGGCACCTTTTCATTTTGGTCAAAATATTTATATGAAATACTATTGTGATTTTTCACCTTATATTTCCCTCTTAATTGTAGATGTACATTTTTGGAAGGCAGATAATTCTCCAGTAGATCATTTTGACCTCTGGTAATCTTAAATAGAACTTGAAGTGGTTTAACATTCCTGTGTCCTAGCTATCACTTTGACTCTTTTTATATTGCTAAATTAATGTTTAGCATTTAACCACGTATCATTAAATCATAGTATTGATAATGAATTAAACTTTCATAAAGCTTTAATAGTGTAGCAGGTTCTCATTCATCTGGTGTCACTGGGGAATAAAAAATGCTGAAGAAATGAGGTTTTTTAAAACTGAAGCTTACTTGTTTAAGCAGAAAAACTTAAAAGCTGATAAAAATTTATCTGAAACATTTTTTATGCTCTTTTAGGGAGTTTGAATGGATTGGCCATTTACTCATAAAATATCATCATTCTAGTGTCATGTAGAAAGGACGTGGGCTTTCTGTTTGGTGTTTATTCTCCAATGTGGGAAGTTTTGTTTGCTTGTTTCTTCCTTTTAAAATGCCATACCCCTAATTCTAATATACTTACTCCGTTTAATTGTTTCAGGGCTTAAGGTCTGTGGTGGTACATGTGCTAATGCCTTAACAGATTCATAAATCCAGGCACCTATGTAAGACATTTGGCTGCATGTAGGCTCACCCAGCATCTTTTGGCAAACACCTGGCCGCAGCTTCCTGCCATGGAGGAGACCCTGTCCTTCTCTGGAGTGAGGACTTTCAGTTTTGAGGCCCTGTTACTGCTGCTCCAAAACACTCACTCTCCAGTAGCCATTGCTAGTGGTGCAAAATGTCTGTATTTACCTGGCGTGCTCCTGAGAATCTATTATGTCAGGTGACCATCTTCAGTTTTCTGGGATTACTGCTAAAATGGGCAAATGGTGTACTCCCTTTATCTTTTAGTAAATTCCAGCGTAACAGCAAAAATCCTTTTTAACAGTGTCTTTTTTTTTTTTTCCCCAACTCCTGCTCATGTTTCCAGCAGTGTTTTCTAAAACAAAGCTCAATCAAGCACAGTGAAAGTATTATTTGAGCAGTTCTTTAATGTGCTGTAATGACATTTGGTTTGAATCTTATATTTAAAAATCACGTTCCCTTCTTTTGCTTGCACCTAGTGGGAATCATCTTTCTTCCAGGTTGTGCTTAAAGAAGACTATAGGGGAAGAACATAATTTCTTCTTGCTGCAAAAGTTGCAGTAGAAGTAAATGAGGGAACTGCCAGGATATGTCTGTCTCCACAAAACAAGCAGAACAAATTTCCATGAATCAAAGCCACTAAGTATAGTTTTCAGAGGTGGTAGGACATAGTTACTTTCCCTAGAAAAATACCCCAAATACAGGCACACCCTATGGCCACTAGAAGAATGCTCAAGTAAATGCTAGTTCAAACCTGTACATTTCACTCTTCTTACCGAGCTATTAAAGGGGTGGAAATCTACTATAACTATAATCTTTTTTCCACTTTTCTATTTTTCAACCTCCCACACGCTTGGTGTTCAGTTCTGCTTAGTGAGTGTCTTGAATCTACAGCAGCACCTACACGTACTGCCTCCACAGTGGCTGATAGTTTGCAGATAGCTCATGATTCAGACCCATAAGAAACATCTGTAACTATAGGGCATGGTACGTGCTTTAGATTGATCATGGAAAAGGGCAGAGCAATGAAGAACCAGAAAGCTTGTTTTTTTCCAAATATTAATGTTGCTTTCTTTGAGGTTATATGTGAGTGGAATATTCTCTAGAGTGGTTTATATCACATTCCATCACTTGGGGAAATATCTCAGGTCATTTTTGTAAGAACCTTTTAGAGACCTTTTAAGCATATACACAGCATATACACCTTAGTGTGGTTAGGTCAGAGGAAATAAAGCAAGATAGCAGATATCTGTCATGTGATGCAGTTAGCAAATTAGTGTTAAACTGCTTTTATTTTTTCTTGAAACCTTTGATACAATTTTCAAAATTGCCTTTCACTAGTTTTTCATTTGCTTTCTAGAAGTTTCCTTCATTTGAAGGGTTACTGGCTACCATTTTGTTAAACCTGGAGGCTGTTTTGTTAACTTACTGAATACAGCATTATAAAGTTGAAGTCATCAGCCAGCCTGAAAAAATTGAGCTGCATAGCACAGTCTCTGAGCTTACTTCTTGCCCACAAAATCTGCAGTGCTCTCAGATTTGTATTTGAAATACAATCTGCTGATGGGGAATGGGTAACGCCCACTGCCTTTCAAATGCATGTGTATATCTACTTTTCCACCTTTCCTTGGTAAATACGGAGCTGTGTTTGAAAAGAACTGATTTTAAAATGCTGGAGGATTCTATCTTTACTCCTTAAGTAAGGTGGTTTATCCTAATAATGGGAGGGGCAAAATACCTTATTTCTGTTTGTCAGCTGCTATGCTTCAATTTTATCTTCACAGCACACCTCTGAGGTTAGTACTTTTATCCCCATTTTAGAGAAGGTGAGACTAAGTCCTACAATGTTAGGTAGCTTGTCCAAGGCCCTACAGCTAGGACATGACAGAGCTGAGCTTCAAACCTGTATCTCCCTGACTCCAGAAGTCATACCTTTTCCACCCGAGGAGCACTGCTTCCTGTTTTACAGATAAGTGAAGTATGTGTTTGTATCTTTTCCCCAAAAATGCTCACTGGAAGATTTAAGACATCAAGAAATAAGCTTTTTTCACTTCAGTCATTTCTTTGAGAACCGTTTGACACATTTTGCTTTGAAAGGTAATTTAAGCAGGCATTGCTTTGACTGAGCAAAGTAAAGCACAGTTTTCTTAGTTAGGAGCATCACTGAGTTTTTGAGACTAATAATTTTGTGGAACAACATTATTAAGGAAAGCAATATGCTTTCTGAACGAGTGGTGTTTACTTAAGTCATAAAGGAGAATTCAAACATCTGGAATATTTTTAAACAACGTAGTTGTTATGTACCAAGTGATATTTCTTATTTACTTCTTACAGGAAATAGCATATAATTTGAAATATATAAAAGTTTTTACATTCATACATATATTTTTATCTCACTGAGCACTTTAACAAAAGTGATATTATTAAAGTAAAAAGTTGCTTGACAGCCGATTCTCTGTGGTGAAAATTTTACCACATCTTTAATAGTAATGTTACTTTATCGCTCTTAATGCCTTTGTTGTTTAAAATAAGGTTGTAGAAACTTTGCTGGTTCACAAGCATATAGCTTTACCTTACTTTTTTGGTCTTCCTTTGGGGGTGGGATATTGACAAAACTGAGGAAGTGGTCAAGCGTCTCAAGAAATTGTATCCTAAAGATTTTTAACACTAGAGAATAGAGATTTGAATATGAGTGTGCTGTCTTCTAAATTTGGATTCGTTGGAGGCATTGGTAGCTGATGAATTTAAAGATGGATTAATATGAGAGTTCCAGAATCAGAGAATTCCTGAACTGGAAAGGCCCATGCAAATGAAGCGCTCTTGGAGTGAAAGTGTTAGTTAGGACATGAGTTCAGTGACTGTCCATGTCTAGATAGAGCTCTAGGCCAAGCCAGTGCTGAGGTTACTGAGTCAGGGTCATAGCCGTTCCAGCCAGGAAGTGAGTGATCACAGTGGGAGAGAACTTTAAACTTCCTGGGTAGGAGAAAAAACTGAGTCATTGTGGAAGTAATCTTAAGACATGAAGAAAACAGAAATCAGAAAAATAAAGCATCTTTATTTCCTCTTATTAACATGAATGGTATAAAAATACTGATTCCAAAGTACAAACCTCAAGTGTTATATACTTTTTAAAAAAGCAGGACAAGCCTATTTAAAAAAGTAATTTGTCTGTAAATGACTTTATTTGCTTTCTGGGTATAATATTTTAACATATTTATTTGAAAATATTTATACAAATTTTTTTTCTTAATATCTAGAATCTGTGAAGACTTGAAAGGGCCAATGAGTATTCTCATCATTGAGGCATTCTATGGAGGGTCCCATAAACAGCTGGTGGATCTGCTTCAAGAAGAGTTAGAATACTGTGTTCTTTATACCCTTCCTGCAAAGAAATGGCACTGGAGAGCACGGACGTCGGCTTTGTACTTCTCTCAGAATATTCCCGCCAGTGAGCATTACAGGTAATTAGAGCCCAGGCTGCATCTCCAGCCTGTTTTAAATGTACTTGTTCTAAGGAGCTTGCTTCTCTGTTGGCTTCTGTGAGATTTCCTTCAACTATGGAATTGGTCAGAATGACTACAGTAGCTATTCCTTTAGCGACAGCAGAGCAGCCGAGTACGTTTGTACTCTGAGGACACCTGGTCGGTAGGAAAGTGGATTCATTTAGAGCCTGCATGCCTTTTCTCATTTGTCTTGTGCTTTTATCACATGCACGTGTGGGTGTATGATGACATTTTTTGGCCTGAGATGAGAGTTGATCTTGTGCACATTTGGTTTTTGCTTCCATAACCTCCCATGCCTCTTTTAGTGAGTATGCTGTCTTAAGGTGCCTGCTCTGTACTAGGAGCTAATGTTGGAAAGATGGATATGACCAAGGCCTGTGCCCTTACAGTCTTTAAAGACTATTCAGAGATGAGTAGTTTTTAAAGTGTCATGAGAGTATGAAAAGGGGAGAAGTTGATTTTGACTGTGACAAATTGGAGGTCGCTTTGTAGAGTTGGTCAACTTTGCTTTGTCTGGAAGGATGAATAGACTTGGGGGACACAGGCCTCAGTTTTGAATTTTGAATTGTTAGGAAGTGGGAACTAGGGGGACCTATTAGAAGGGCTTACGAGATACACTGAAAAGTGTGGATGGGAAATACCAATTCCATTTTAAGGAAACAGTAGAATGGAATCCTCCTGAATATCCTTACTGCCATATGTCTCCTGATGGTTAAATAGTGGAAGATTATCCTGTGGTTTACATATCCGATGTTCTTACCATTCTGGGCCCTTCTGTGTAGGACTGCATTGGTGGTGGCAGGAGTCGGGAGGGCCAGACTGATAATGAATGGAGTTCGAGCAGCTAGGTTGTTAGAGAAAGGGCACGTTGCAAGCTGCAGAGCTCACCTTGGCGTCAGCAGCCATATCCATCTGCTGCTGCTTGTAAGGTGGGGCAGAGACAAGGGAGAGAGCAGCTTGAGATTTAAATGTAGGTTGCTGTTCTTAGTAGTAATTTGGGGGATTCAGAAAATAACCCATTTGGTGTATAAAAGCCATGCATCGCCTCTGAGAATTCAGATTGTCAGATGGAACAGCAGTGAGCACTCAAGTCATGTTGCTTGGGATTATAAAGGTAAAAGCTGTTTGGGGGCATATTGAGAATTTTGTATTTTTCTAATCTAAAGTGTATTTCTCCTTACATAATTTAATGTTTTATATTCTGATAGTCACCAAGTGAGTATTGTGGATTCACTAGTAGTATTAGAAATTTCAGTGCATGTATCAATATAAAAGTTTTCAAGGCAATGACAAGTGAGTCGTTGCCTTGAAACAGTGCTAAACAGGATTTTAGCACTGTTGCTGTGCTAAAATTGATTGTTTATAGTTGCTTTCACATCTCATTTAACTGTATTTTCTCAGCACCAATTGCATTATATTACTTAAGGTCAAGTAATCCAGTTGGCTTTATGGCACATTTTCATTTAACATTACCATTTGATATAATACATTCATACATACCAAATGATATAATACATTTCTACAATGATTTGAGCATTGAAACAAACCATTTCTGTATCTGCTGTTAGATTTCATTTTGATTACGCAGCGTTTTGGAATGGAATTTTTGTATCACAAATATATGTGTGTGGATAGCATGCAAACAAACACTTCTGTGCCTGTGGCTTCCCCACTATGTTTGAGGTCTGAAGCATTTGAGGTAAAACATCACATTGCTTTTTGAAGCAGTCTTATTTGAGAGGTAGATTTCTGAAAGATGGTGTCATAAAATATAAAGTTTTACTCTCTGATAGCCATAACCTCCAGGTCCTAACAGTGGTATCTGTGATCTTTCAAACTCAGCCATTTAAGCTGCAGTTAATGGTACTTATTAATCTAATCAGACTTCACTAAAACATATACCTCACCAGTCTAACTTACAGTTATATTTGACTAACGATAACCTATCTACTCTTTACCAAATAACCTTTCTGAATACTTTTAGAAAAACAGCAGCAGCTTGAAAACTTATATACGAAGTTAAAAAATATGCTCACTCAACTCTAGATAGAAGTGCAAGAATGACGTTTTGTTACACCAGATAATTCTGATCTCTGTGGAGACATTTAAAGATATGAAAAGTTCTTGATTTCTATTTACTTACTCTATTTGTACATTTGTCAAATGAAATCACCAAAATTCATAAAGATAAAATGATTAAGCACCAATATTGCATACCATGCAAAAACTACTCTGAACTAGTAGGAATGTGTCTGATAAGAAAGACCTTGAATGTAGGTACACAGGTTATTTTTTTCAACATCTGTATACATAGTCATTGTTTTTATAAGCTCGTTATCTGGGTAATATTTTATTACTAAAAGAATAAATGCTCCAGCCTAATTAATCAGCTTGATTCTGCTTTATCTTGACAGTGAAAATAATACATCATGATTCACATTTAGAGCTGTTTAATTTTTATTACAGATTACAAAAGCTCCACAATTTATTTTTCTCAAAAGTAGTTTGGTAATTATTAGGTTTTATTAAAGGCTTGCCTTCTGGAAACTTCACAAAATGCAGAAAAATGTTTCTGAGGATGGGCCTCAAATTTCATGTTCTGAAATGTATGAGTCATTTGTCCCAGCATCAAGCACTTCTACTTTCTTAAAATATACCTAGAGTAGGCATCAAAGATATTTCGTTCTTCTTTCTTTCTGCAATATCTTTACTGAACTGAAAGAATCGCTCTTACTTAAAATCATTTTTTTCACTCTCAGATGCTTACAGTTATATTTTCATTCCATCTGAGGTATTGTGGCAGATACTGATCATTGCCCACCTAACAGTGCTTCTTCCTTGTTAACAGAATTAGTTTTCTTTGGCATGGCTAAGTACCCAGCCCCTGGGAGTGAAGCTTGATGGACTTAAGTCGGTCATGATGATTCCGTTCTCTGCCAGATTTTCCCAGTTTTCCTTGAAGCTAGTGCTGGATTCTGGCAAATTCAGTTTAAATAGATGACTTCTGGGGGTTCTTCCAACTAAGTTTATTTTATTTTATTTTGTGCTTTACTTATAAAAAGAGAAAGCCAGCTCCCCTTCTCTGCGTTTCATTGTGGTTATGATGTCTACAACTAGCAGATGACAAGATGAGGACAAAACACCTGAGCTGCCATAAATGGCTGATGAAAAGCTGGAATGCTATAGCTACCTAGTACCCTGAAAACCCTCTGTCCCTAAAACATCTAGCTATGTTTTATAAAACGTATTAAATTTTGTTTTAAGTTCATAGCCAAGCAGAGTAAGAGCGGATCTGGGGAGGGATTTGGAAATTAGAGTGGTCACCTTGCTTTGAAGCCGTGGCTGCGTAGTTTTCATAAAGGGGACTGGTTAACTGAGTTATGTTATGTTCTTGAAATGAAATACTGTGCAGCATTAACCTGAATTAGGAAGCTTTCTGTGTCCTCTTATTGGAATCTCTCCAAGACAAGTGACCAAAAGTAAGGTGCCAAAGAGTGTTATTGGTGCTATCTTTGGTGCCAAGAAAGGAGGTTATAAGAACAAAACAATGGAAGAGTGCATTGGAAATGAATGAAGATACTTGCCTGGGGATTAGTGTAGCAGAGGTTGTTGGTGCCCCACCCATATCCCTCCCACCTTTCTCTTGTGTGCCCTGGCCAGCTTCCTGCTGTCAGTCTCTGCAGCCCTTTTTGCCTGGGGGAGTAGCTGCTCTGCCAGTGCAGGCAACAGGCCCCAGTAGCCCTCTGCCAGTGATCTTCGCCCCTCAGATGAAATCATTCTGAAGTGTGAACAGGAGAGAAATCATTAACAAAGATTCCTCAAAAACCCTGTAAGTCAGGAAATTAAAGCATAATTCTAAATAATTCATGGGTCACAGAAGAAATTATAATGGATACTAAAAAATAGAACTGAGTCATAGTGAACATACTGCATATCACAATGTGGGTTGCATCTAAATTGACAGTCGCAGCCACATCATCTTTAATAAATTTATTTTTATTATTGTCTTTTTAAATTGTGATATGCAGTGCCTTCTAAAGCTTGGCCCAGGGCAGGGCTCCTCTTACTTTAATCTAGGAGGAGTACTGGGAAGGAAGCAATAAAAAGAGTAAAAAATAGTGAAATTGAAAGCATATATATATATATATATATATATATATATATATACATAAAATGGAGATGAACAAACTAAAATTAGTGATTTTGAAATAATAAAACAGATATAAATCCAGGCATGCTTTATTTATTTTTTTAAGGCACAATTCATTTTTGGAGTGAAAAAAATATAGCTACAGATACGACACACATCAATAAAAAGGAGGAAATACTGTTAATAATTTTATGTTAATACATTTGCAAACTTAGACAATATGGATAGTTTCTTAGAAAAACATAACTTCTAACACCTTACTCAAAATGAAATAGAAAATCCGAATGGAGCTGTAATCATTAAAGTTGTTGTTACATTAACTAAAAATCTCGCCATTAATAGACAGAGGCTGGGTCCTCGTGCAGGTCGGTTTACACCAGTGCTTCTATGTCTCTTTCCAGATTTGCGTTACATGAGATCAAGTGTCTAGTTTTTTAGGTTTTCTGTTTCTTGTAGCCATACTAGTCCTAATTGGTGTTGATTATCATTATTAATGATATCTCCCTTCCCTACCCCCAACCTCTGACCTTTTTTCTTTTTTTTTAAATGTCTAAGGAGGGGCAAGGAAAGCAAATAGTTGGATAGAAATTAAATTGAATGAAAGTTCAGTTGGGTCAAGTAATGTATAAAGTGAAATTCAAGCTTAAGGTGATATTTGATTGTTGATAATTCTGTTATGATTTGCCATTTTCTTAAATGGTACCTTGACTGTGTCTTTTCATTAAGCAGATTCTCTTTCAGGGAAGCTGTGATTTATTTATTTATTTATTTTTGTTCTTAATTGAACTATTTGCTGTGAAACATTGAA